GAGGTCTGTGTGTGAGGTCTGTATTTAGTGGTATGTGTGTGAGGTCTGTAGTTAATGGTCTGTGTGTGTGTGAGGTCTGTATTTAGTGGTCTGTGTGTGTGAGGTCTGTATTTAGTGGTCTGTGTGTGTGAGGTCTGTGTTTAGTGGTCTGTGTGTGTGAGGTCTGTATTTAGTGGTCTGTGTGTGTGAGGTCTGTATTTAGTGGTCTGTGTGTGTGAGGTCTTTAGTTAATGGTTTATGTGTGTGTGAGGTCTGTATTTAGTGGTCTGTGTGTGTGAGGTCTGTATTTAGTGGTCTGTGTGTGTGAGGTCTGTAGTTAATGGTCTGTGTGTGTGAGGTCTTTACTTAATGGTCTGTGTGAGAGGTTTGTAGTTAGAGGTCGACACGTCAGAACCATAAACCCTGAACTTCCTGCATCTCTGACTTCGACACTGTGCGTCTGTAACAATTTAATAAACCCAAATTAAAAGAAACTCGGCCTCAAGCAGCAGGAAACACGACTGACGTCGTTTAACATTTCACTTCTCCGCTGCGTTCAAGCTAAAATCTGATTGAAAGGCCCGTCTGGACCTCATCCTCCTCTGCAGCCACAACAGATCAATACAAATGTCAGCAGGGAGGGCCGTAACCAGAACACAACAGAACCGCTCAGTATCAGAACCGGACTGATCCAAAAGGGTCCAAGTGAACTCTGACAGGTTGGCATTATAAAAATAATAATGAGAAATATTATTAGAATAAATCTACGTTTTTTTGTTGAGTTATATTTCACTTCACTTCTTGGTCTCAACTTCAGCTACTTTAAACTGTTTATGCATCAAAACCTTCAGCTCTTTGAGGACATTTCAGCTATGATCTACTTTTAAAACATTAATTTTGTTTTATTTTTATATCATGAAATTAATAGAAAACACTTCAAATATTTGTGCTTATTAACATCTTTAGTGTAATTTCTTCATTTTTAGCGTCTAGCTACTGTTACGCTAATTTTGGCTTTTAGGTACTTTTCACTTGGTCTTGGCGTTTAGCCACAGTTTTTTGTTATTTATTTTTTGGTCTTTAGCTTTTTCCCGGTTTTGCTAGTTTTACCTTTCATAATTTTCTACATTTAACTTTTAGCTATGATTTTGCTATAATTAGCTTTTAGCTGGTATCTTAACTTCAGTACCACTGAATTATTGAGCATGCATCAGGATATTCAGTACCACTTGTTTTACTTTTTACAATTCATTCTGCAACAAATTAGCTAGTAGCTTTCCCTACTCTTAGCTTGTAGCAACAACTTGTCTTGATCCTGGCTTTAACCACAGTTTTTATTAGTTTATTTATTTTCTTCTGGTTTTAGCCTTTAGTCGTTTTCTTTTTCCAGTTTTGCTACTGTTACCTTTTTGGTACTTATTATTTTCTTTTAGCTACAGTTTTATTTGTCTTAGCCTTTAGCTAATGCTTTTCTGGTTTTATTTGTTTAGCTACATTTTTTTGCTTAGCTTTACACACTGTTTTGTTCATTTTTATTTTGTGGCTTCAATTTGGCTACAATTAGCTTTTAGCTAAAGTTTTGTTTGTCTTGGCCGTTAACTATATTTTTCTTGGTTTTAGCTTGTAGCTAAAAAAAATTCTTAGCTTTAAACACTGTTTTGTTCATTTTAACTTTCCGCTTCAGTTTGGCTACGATTAGCTTTTAGTTAGTGTTTTGCTAATTTTAGCTATAAGCTAGTTTTTTCTTGATTTTCAGCCTCTGTTTTTCCTTCAGAGTCCTTCAGCTCTCAGCTTCATTCTGTAGTTTCTCAGAAAACGTTTCCTCCAGAGGGGAGAAAGCAACAGTTCCAGATTAGATTAATTAATCTGGTTTTCTGAACACTGCTGTTGGTGAGTCAGGCTTCGGCTGATGTTTTCCTCTCACTGCTGTCCTGAGCAGCAGGAGGTTTCAGCTCAGTGTTTTCTGTCCTAATGAGCTAAATAAAACGACCTCGACCTGTGCGGAGCTTTAATCAGCCTGATTGGCTGAAGGAGGGTCACGGATCAATAAATCAAGAACCGGAGCTCAAATCCGGTTCTTGATCATGAAGATCATGAAGCTGAGGTCCTCGTCCTGCCTCCTCCACTTGTTTCCTTTCCTTCAGCTCCTTCCGTCGTCTGTGTTCCAGTCTGACCTGAAGCGGAGAATGAGCGACAGGCAAAAGTTTCCATCGTCGGTTTTATTTGATTTCCTGCGAGTTCCTCCTCCGACTCTCGCCCCGTAACTCCATCAGATCTTTATTTCCTGACAGATTACTGAGACGTTTCCAAGACGAACTGCAGGAAAATCCCTGGAAGTTGCAGAATTGTAAATAAATCTTTTTGTTTTCCAGCACGAGCGTTTGAGTCAAACTTTAAAGGCTCATATTGATGGAAATAATGACATCCTGCGGAGAAATGAACTCTCCAGACGTTTTGGGTTCATCCAAACAAACGGAGCGCGAGTCTCTTTTAAATGTTTACGTCTAAACTTGTGTTTTATCCATTGTGCTCAAATTAAGGATTAAATCAAACTTATAAAGATAAAACAAGCTCCTGACCTGGATGTGTTTTCTTCAAAATTTAAACAAAACTCTTAAAAAATGCCTCTTTTCCAAATGAAAGTACTAGAATTGTGCTGAGAAATGGAGTTCTGGTCAAGTCTTGTAAAGACGTTTTGTAAGATGAACGTTGGCGCTCAAGGTGTGTGTTGAAGATGACTCTCAGCTACTACCACACCAAGTCCTAGCCCAGAATCTGTAAAGTTCTTTTGTTTTTACTGGCGTCGATGAGCTGCTAATTATTTAGACATCCAATGATTGCTTTAAAAGTTTTGAGATATTTTACTTACAGTACAAACACACTGGTTTCAACTTTTATTTTGAAGGGAGAGAAAAATACATGACCCTTGTTGGCAAAATAAATTTAAACAATCGAAGCTTTTTGTGCAAAAAATTGTAAAAAATATTTATTTTTGCGTCAACATTAGTCCATAGAGACACATCCAGCAGTCCTGGTAACTAAAGTAGAGAATAATCTACTTCTAACTTAAAGTTTTATAGCAGTTCAGAAATAATCCTTTCTTTTTTCAAATAGACAATTTTCTCTGCTGGGAAATCCCTTCGTATAATGTCATATTGACTCTCGGGGATCCCTTTGCTTAATATACGTCTGAAATGCTCGACGAGTGTATTAAAAATGAATGAACCCGTGTGACTTTTTGTTGGTTGCTCCATCAAACGGCCTTCAGAGGCTTCGGAGCTACGAACTCGTGTCGTTGGAGGCACAGTTCATCCCAACGGTTGTAACTGGTTTCCAAATGGGGAACAGATGATCGTGGTTCTTTTGTGGTCCACGCAGACCCAGCAGGAAGTTCCTCTAATCCTGCAGAACATTTACAATCTGTGAAAAGCCCCCCCAGCAGGCCGTGAGGCGACCACACGCCTCCTGCTTCACGAGCAGCGTCGCCTGGCCTCGGATCAGCTGATTTGTAGTTTCTCGTCACGCAGCAGCAGATCATTAATCTGTGACGAGCCGAGCCCCCCCGGCTCACTGGTATCGGATCATCAGTCTGCCTCCGGCGTCCCCTGGCAGCTCGACGTGTCAATGAACAGAGGTGGAGTATTGAAGACATCCACAGAATGTCAGCGATACTGAACCGCCGGCCATTAGCAGCTGCAGGGACGTGGTCCGGGTCTGATCCGGCTCGGTTAAAAACTGCTCAAACACAACCTTACACTGCGCCGGTCGGCGTCAGGATCAATCGCCCTCTCCCGCCCGCCTGGTTTACGGTAAACACCAGACGGAGAACCAGTGTCTTGTTTTCTCCGTTTCCACGGGGGGTTCTTACTCCAAACTGTCAGATTACGTTAATGAAAACCTCCTCCTACGAAGGGATCCTCTTAAAGCTGCTGAAGGCTCGCACGCTAGCCGAAGGGTTAGCCTCGTCGTTTCAGCGCATCAGTGCCGAGCGCCACCGCCGATAAAAGCTATCATTAAGGCTTCGTGTCGAGATGGAGGGGGTTCAGTTGGACTCTGGGGGGTTGAGTGGCAGGTGTGATCCTGAGGTTCTGATGATGTCAGAAAAATACTTTTATTTTGTTGTTTTAGCTTTCTTTGTTTGTTTGTTTGTTTGTTTACAAACTTAATGATGCAGTGTGACTGTATGTAAACTTTCTCTTGTCCCGCCCAAAACTTCTGATCCGCTCAAGATAATTTTATGAAACTTGATACACATTTGTTCCACCACTACGCAGCATGTCACGCAATCTTTGCACCACCCCAGCTTCAAGGTCAAGGTCACAAGTCAAGGTCAAAGGTTAAACAAGTTTTGGGCCATTGCTATAGATTGCTGCATAGTACGTCAGTGGGCGAATAACGTGCCGTATGCTGTACTCGGTAACCCTGCTGCTGCCCTTGGGTCAGAATGACCCACAAGGCCTTTATACTAAAGCCTTGGGGGCCATTTGGACCCACAATGGTGACCCACATTCCCACCACCACCCAGTCTGTGAGGAGTTTGTAACCACCGCTAAAACAAGACAACCATTTTTCCAATTTTCTCCGATTAAAAGTGGCCCGTTCTCTTGTTCCCTCCAGATTTTACCGGGGAGATTACCACATCGACGTCTGCATCAACGACTACCTCGATGTGTACTGTCCGCACTACGCCAGCCCGGTGTCCGACGACCGGGCCGAGCGCTACGTCCTCTACATGGTGAACTACGACGGCTACAGCTCGTGCGACCACACCGCCAAGGGCTTCAAGCGCTGGGAGTGCAACCGGCCCCTGTCGCCGAACGGACCGCTGAAGTTCTCCGAGAAGTTCCAGCTCTTCACGCCGTTCTCTTTGGGCTTCGAGTTCCGCCCCGGCAGAGAGTATTACTACATCTGTGAGTACGCTCAGAGCTCCACGGGTCCGATTCAACCAAAGCTGGTAAAATTTAACTTGAATTGGTCGAACTCTGGGTAGAAACCACCGGCTTGTTCCGTAGAGCGCCCTTAGACGAGTCGAGTCCGTCCTGAAACTCGTACATCAGCTCAATTTATTTCAATTAACTTTATTCACATTGTGACATTTAACAACAAACATGTCAGGCAAAAAGTAAACGGGTCCAATTCAGTCCAATTTAATTTATTCATTAATCTGATCCGATTAAATAATTTGCATTTACACAAAGACCAGTTCAATCAATACAAAATACAATTATATTTAAATTCTTATTAAATTACATAAAGTCCAATCAGTCCATTTAATTTAAATTATTTTATTTTTTACCAATTATAACCTAAATTTATTTAACATAGTTGGTTTAAAGGTCTTTAATAATGGATGTATAAACTTATCTTTATTTATATCACAATCGAATCCAATTCAATATATTTCTATTGAATTCATTTCATAAAAAAATAACTTGTTCAATTGGATTTAATTTTAAACTTTTCGTTCAGTTCAGTTTATTTCAGTTCTCTCAGGTCAAAATCAGCTTATTTCAGATTTATTCAGCTAAATTTAATTACCAGTTTAGTCCGGTTCATTTCAGTTCTCAAATCCAATTCAGACCTAATTTGATTCATTGTCCTTCAGTTTACTGTACAAAAAGTCCACTTCAGTCCAATCCAATCCTCCTTTATTTAAATTGTTCTATCATAAATAAATGACATGCAATCAAATTTAGTTCAATTCATTCCAATTCAATATAATTTAAGTTTTGAGCACAATCAGCCTCTGAATTTAGTCCATTTACATAAAGTTCTGTTCAGTCTTTATTTATGTAAACTCTTATTGGGTTGAACCTTTTCAGTCTAAATTCCAATTGATTTCAGTTTACACACAGACCAGTTCAGTCCAGTTCAATCTAAACCGTCCATCTTGACTTTCATTCCGATCCACTGCAGCAGTTTTTATCCCGATCCAAGCGTTCCTATCAGGACGTTGGTCTCCGTCGTGTTGGTGCAGTGATTTTCCTCGTCCCTGCAACGAGGGTCAGACCAAAACCTGAACCAGACGGTGTAAGACGCGTCAAGCGGCGAGGCCTCAGCCCGAAGCGTCTTTTGTTGCCGACCGGCTGAGCTCAGCTTTCTCCTCCTCGTGAGAAGACTCGGCAAAACAAGCAGCCGGGGGAGTCGTGTTTTCATAAGTGAGGTCGGCGCCCCGCGGGGGGAGAAGCGACGGACTAAATAAGACACAGTGGTAGATTTCAGATATTCTGCTGACACCTGAGGTCAGGCAGCAACTTCAAGGGTATCACCAGAGAGCCGTAATAAAGAGAGGAAGAGTCCGAGGGATTCTGGCACCAGAACTAAGACATAACGAGCACGGTTGTATCCGTGTGTTCACCTCCATCCTGCGCTGGTGGAGATCTGTAGAATCGACTAAAACTCATCTGATGAACCCTCACAAGGTTCTTTACGTTTATGACGATAACGGTTCCTCGGGGGGGATACACCACCTTACATAACTGCCTTAAAATGCTTCTTTCTTCATTTTTATCCACAAAAAAAAACCATTTATTGCACGTTATAAGGTCCGACTCTTGGAGCTTTCTCTGTCCAAACTAAACATATCAAAACTTAATGACTTGTTTTTAAATGTTACTACTTAAAGGGTTTAAGTTTGAAAAGAGAACCTCGACAATTAAGTTTTTAGTGAGGGACCTCTGTAGTGTAGAGGTAGGGCAGGCGACTTGGGGCCAGAAAATCGTGGGTTCAACTCCCCGCCATGTCCACATGTCGTCTTGAGAAAGACACTTGATCCCTAATTGCTCCCCGGGTGCTTACATACCTGCCCACTCTCCACCTGGGTGTGTCTCAGGTGTGCTGGGTTAAATTCAGAGAACTAGTTTCTCTCAGTGTGGGAACATACGATGACACAGCGCACTAAGCTTTATAAAAGTCAACAGATTATTTATGTGCCAGTGTTTCCCTGCCGTTATACAAGCAGGGCGCCCCGCCCTGTCAACAGAACCGAACCAACACCCCCCCCCCCCCCCGCCCTGTCGACAACTGCCGGCACTGGCGTAGCGCTAAGCTAGCGTAGCGCCAAACTGTTGGTACAAACAACACGGAACACTGACATGTCTCGGTCACCGTTGTCCCCCCCACCGTCAAAAATCACAGAAGACACGAGCGCCCTGCCACGGCAAGTAATGTAGGGGAAACACTGTGTGCATTTTTTTTTGGGTGGGGGGGGGTGTAATTTTTGGGAAGACCATCTAGCCAAGCAGACCCTCCACATTTGGTAGCCAACAATGGCGCCTTCTTTCAATCGTGCACGAGTCAGTTGGTGTTGAACCGAAAGTTTTCTATTTGTTCACCGTGCCAGTTTGTTTCATTTTTACTGAACTGGTTGACCATCGCGCTGCTGCTGCTCCGGTCCATTTACCAACGGTGCCGTACTGGTCATACCAACTGGTGTCAGTCAAAATGAGCTGTGAAGCAGACGATTGTTCAGCATGCGTGTGGCTCCAGATGTATACGTGAGCGACCTCATCAGGCCAGGACTCTGCGGTCTACGCTCATCTCCAGGCCAGAGGTCATTCGTTCAGGGATGAAGATGTTCACATCCTGGACAGAGAGGAACGATGGTTTGAGAGAGGAGTGAAGGAGGCCATCTTTGTGAAGAAAACTCATCCATCAGGGGCGGAGCCTCCGAGTCCAACTGTCCCCCTCTTACAACACTGTTACTGCTAGTATCACTCAGCCCCCGGCACTAACGATCAGTCATTAGGCTGATGGTCTTCCTTTATCATGTGAACAGCTAGTTCTGGATGTCAACAACAAACTGGTTGATCCACCATGAGAAGGTGCTGTTTATAAGACTGAGTTTGTTGCAGCTCCTCAGACTGAAGAAGTCCTTTGGATTAAAGATGAAATGCTTCAACAAAGAAGAATCCATCCAGAGGACCTTACTCGACCTTGTTAGATTTCTCCATGAGACCTTCAGAGGGTTGAACTTTAGTATCCATTTGTTGGTCACTGAATAAAACAAACTTGTCTTTAGTGTAACATTAAGTAACATTTCTAAAAACTCACCTGCTGCCTTGCGTGTTTTTCATGATCTGCTAGCTTTCAAAGAACATAGTTATTATAATCTTCAGCTACTACCACACCACATTTTAGCTAAAAAAAATTGTAAGATTGACTGTCTTGTATCCATTTTTGTGTTTTCCAAGGTCAGTTGGCTGTGGCGGCCATCTTCATTTGGGTCAACTCCCAAAGTTAGTCAGCTGAGGAAATGCGTCTGATGCATTTCTTTTAAATCCGTCCAGCGGTTCATGAAATCTTCTGCTGATCCTACAAAAAAACTTTGGACACAGTCAAAAATGTAATCAACTAATTTAGATTCTTGAAATCTGCTGTTTTTGTGCGACAGTACTGTGGACTTGTGTGCTGGTACCGGTGTCAGATTGCACGCTGACAGCTGTTCTGACTGCGTGGACATTGATTCTGAGTGAAGTGGCGCTCGTACGACACGGCCCGAGGGTTCCTGCAGAGGACTCGTGTCCGCTCGCCTCACTGAAGACAGACGGTCCTTTGTCGTCCTCTGTGCAGACTTGATCCAGGCATTAGATAAAGAGGGCTGGCTAATACCTGTAGGGGGAGGGGCCTGTCTGACAGACACCTGGGGGAAACCTGAACCGGTGTGGGATCGTCTTTGCGGCTGGTCCCGGCAGGTCAAAAGTCACCGAGATGACGAGAAGCTCCTGGCCTGGTGTTTTTCTAACAGAGCCTCGGTGGAGCGGAGCGGGTCCAGAGGCGGGAGGGGGTGCGGATCCTAATCTCAGGGGATAAAAATCCAATTTTCAGCAGAGACAGTCGAGAGACTGAATCTACCTCTGTGAGAGTCGCCCCCTAAACCCCCTGAGCCCCGAACAGTCGGTGCAGATCTGCATTCATAACAAGTTCCTCTGTTGTCCTCCGTTAACGTCTCAGAATGAGGCAGAAACTCAGGAAAACATCTGATCCAGCTGTTTCTATAATCTGTTGCCAACAGCCGAAGGCTAATGTTAGCACGTCTGTCTTTTAACAAATTCTCATATGCACCACTGGATGAATTTTAATGAAACTTTCAGGCAACAATCACTAATTTGACACGTCCAAATCTTTAACCTTTGGAGTCGGGCTGGTTCTAGATGGCCACCAGAGCCAGCTCATCTAAAAAAATAAAAATACAAAAATGTCTGTGCCTTGGTCAGTTTTACAGATATTGAGCGACAGTTTGGTGTGGTAGTAGCTGAGAGTCACCGTAACAACTGCTCCAAGTCTTACTTGCACAAGATCTTTGCTTTAGCTTTAAGCGTCGGAGTCAACCTTGTTTGTCTGTTAGCAAAATACCAAACTTTGTTTTCTTGGAATATGCTTCAAATTGCTTCCAGTAAAACAACTACTGCTTTTAATGCTAATGCTAATCCTGCTTTCTCTAATGCTAATTCTACTAATGTTAGTACTTGGAGGACTAATTCTGCTAATGCTAGTTTTATTAATGCTAATTGTAATAATGTTAATGTTGTTACTGCTAATTCTAATAATGATAATTTTAGTTAATCTATTATTTTGCTAAGTTTGGGTAGTCCATTGCTATATTCAGCTTTTATCAAGATTTTTAGTTTTATAGCGTTGAACTAGATTTTTGCAACTTTTATGTTTTGCGTAACATTTTTGTAGCTTTTTGCTACTTAAAACTTTTAAATGCATTTTTTATAGTTAGTTTGATTTCATAGCAAAATATAAAACTATTTCTAGTATAATTTTTTTTAAAGTTCTTTTTGAAACCTGCTTCAGTATACTTCTACTACTACTATGGTAATACTAATGCTACTAATACTAAGGCTAATGCTACTAACGCTAATGCTAGTTCTGCTAATTCCAGTACGACTGCTGCTAATGTTAA